TTAGCATTTTTTATTTATGCATTTCATGCGGTTAATATGTTTTTATTGTCGGAATATAATTTTATGATTTTTAATGTCCAAACCGACCAACCCGATTGAAACTTGATTGGATTCCATTGGGTTGGAACACATAAATGGGTTGTTTTGATTTTATTTTTGATCAAACCGATCGTATTGGGTTGGGTAAAAAATCGATCCAATCCACACCCACCCCTACTCCCAATGTTACCAGTTATTTACAAATGCATTGAGGTTATGAAAATTCAAGGTTTGTAAATGCAAAACAAATTAGGCAAAACCAAATTTATACATGTGCCAGTATTACAATTGAAATCGAAAATACAAAAAATATTCTTGGGATCCAAAAAATCAACATAAACCAAGATAAAAAAGAATGGAAAAATAGCCTGTCAGTCCATCTTTCATAAGGGGTGTATAAATCTTGGCTTCAATTTAGATTCAAATTTCAACCCTTCCTCCATTCCAAAATTGATATTCAATCACGTTACATGTACATATTGTTTTACATTATTTTTCATGAACACATGATTAAACCGTTTTTAAAAATAACGCACTTGCTCGTCCAATACCTTTTGAATTCGTACGCCATATACACTAAAATATAACACATAAAACATTTACTTAGGACCTGTTTGAGCCATATTATTTGATAAAAATGTATTTTAAAATATTGATTTGATGGAGAATGTGTGATTAATAAATTCCAACCGTTGCTGCTCTCGACGAGCAATATAGGCACCACATACATGCCTTTAATTCTGTCGATTCTGTAAGAGTCAATTGATCACAAAAATCTATCATAGCAGAATAAAGCTCATGAATACTCATTATATTCTTTTGTTGAAGAGCTCGTATGTCACGCGTGATACCATTTTATTGAAAAATTTATGGTTGAAAATAAAATGGACAAAAATGTATTTTTGATAAGAACGGGGATCATGGCTTATGATATTATACGCAAAACCTAGTTTTATGGAGACGTATATAGTGTATGTATATACGTATATACGTACACACAAGTAAAAATGGGTGCTTACAGAGCTGACGATGATTATGATTACTTGTTCAAGGTGGTGCTAATCGGCGATTCTGGTGTTGGAAAATCGAATTTGCTTTCGAGATTCACCCGCAACGAGTTCAGTTTGGAGTCTAAGTCAACTATCGGCGTTGAATTCG